AATTACCGTTATACCCCCAATCTGCTACACTACTTTTTCGGCTCTTTTGGAGAGGCCGCGTCTAACATAGCACTGGCGTGGGACAGGTGCACCCTTACTCTGTGATCTGGGGCCCATTTCACAAGCGTCCTTAGATTAGGACGTCTTTACGTATAGGATTTTAACCTTAGGACGTCCTTACCTAACTAAGGCTATTTCAGTAGATTTTCCTTACCTAACGTTAGGATCCTATACTTAAAGACGTCCTTACCTAACGTAAGGATGTGCTATCTGAGGATATTAGGAATCCTTACGGCAATTAAACACAACGTAAAATGTTATATAACCGCAATTCGAACCAGGATCTCTCCAACACCGAACACAAACTTTACCACTCCACCATTTTATACTTACTTCTAACGAAATACGAATCGGTTCATCGAAGCATGGACCACAAAGGTAGGCCTCAAGGCGCCATTCAGCAGATTTAACAGATATAACCACTTTTATTAACAACTGATACGCGTAATGGATCTTGACGAAGCGGAACTAGGAGATACGAAAGAGGGCACTCATGGCTCAACAGGAAGCTTGGGTAGCTTGGCAGCAAGCTAGTAGAGCGTGGGGCGAAGTTTCAGTTTCTGCTAAGAGGGCCTTTTCTGCTATGGAGGAGTCCTGCAGTAACAAAACGCCTGACTCTAGCCAAGATGAGTATTTGTAAGTAGTTTCATATGAAGTTTCAAATGAGTATCGAAATTATTGTCGAGTTTTGTTAATAGTTGTAAGATTTTTGTTTAAGTTACAAATTAATTTAAAAATGTACATGCAGAGTTTCGAACCAACGACTGTTTGGCGGAGCGCAGCGAGTCGTCTTGCACACTTTTAACCTTAGGATTGCCGGTAAAGTACCCCCCGAGGTACTTTACCGTGAGGATGAAAATTTCCTTAAAAATATAGCTTGTGAAAGCCGGGGCGTCCTAAAGGCCAATTTTTAAGGAAAAAGGCATCCTAATGTCCTAAATCCTAACGGTAAGGATCCTAATATCCTAATGTCCTAACCCAACCTAAGGAAAGGGCCCTTGTGAACGCCATTTATCCTTAAATTGCATCCTAATGGGTTAAAATCCTAACATTAGGACGCTTGTGAAAT